CAACTATTTTTACTAACCACGACTATTAAAATGAGACGGAGGGAGTACTAGCGACCACTGGTTCACTTTCCTACCTAAAATTTTCCAAACTGGCCTAGCATAAATTTCCCAACATTAATGAACATAATTTTAACATTTAATGCTATTTAATTTCGACCCCTTATTGTACACCACTTGCAACGTTGTGAAATATACTTGGCATGACAATATATGTGCAACACTTTTTAAGATAAGTCGGGCTACGTTATTAAATATACTCTTGCCTCAAATAACTATTTCGGCTGTAATCATAATTTCTACTTCCTTTTTGTTTTCTTCAGAACAAGAAAAGTACAAGCAACTTATTATTGCCAAAATTATTGTACTTATAAAATTATTTTAAATTATTAATCAATTACTTATTCAAGTACGTCTCCGTTCTAAATAATTTTTTTATATTTCCCCTTAGGCATCTGTAACCTACATTGGGTCTCGAGTAATTTGAATTCGCGTCGCGTAAAGTCTATTTAAGGGAAAACGCTCTAATCCGATTTTTTCTATATCTAAGGCGTAAATGTTTAACTAATAAATAGTTTTTGTGGTTAAAGTTAATATTAGAATAAATTGGGTTTCTAATAACCAAGTTTACTTTACTTTTTCAAATGTAAAACAGTAAAAGTAATTGAAATTCAATTAACAAAGACAAAGAAATCTTATTGATGATTGATGTTTCCTCACAAGAATCGCGAGTAAGAATCTTCAATCAAACAGAGAAGTAAAAGTAAAAGACTGATTTGCACATATTCGTGAATTTTCTGATTATCGTACAAAGTAAGGTAAACAGCGCTTAATAAGGATACAATATGTAACTGTCTTCCATCATTTAGTTCCTGCCCGTTACTAACAGTAACCACATTAATTGTCCGTTACTCATATTGTTCGTAATAGTTATGGTAATAATAAATAATCGCGTATAATCAGTGATTATGCTAATCCCTCTTCAATGTGTGTAACTACCAATGCATCTTCCTCTTTTAGTCTCCATGCATCCCGTGCCTATCTCTTCTTTTTAGCTGTCAGATATGGTATCTTTTGTAATTAATCTCGTAGGTGTTTTAAACGCGCCTCATCATTCTTCCTTATTGATCTCATCCAAATGCCACTTGTTAACATATCGTTAATCCACGTGTCATATGTATTTTTTCACCAATACAGCAAACCTTGTATATCTGATTAAGATGAAGAGATCTTAACCACCAGCTATAGTCTTGAACTAGTTGGGATTGAGTAAAACCTTATTATTGGCTGAATAGGTCTCAATTTGTTTTGCCATGAAAAAACTAGACTAGATAACTATACTATAGTAACTACTCCCTCCGTTCACTTTTAGTTATCCATTTTTGATTTTGCTCTCCACTTAAGAACAAATAAATGAAGTATGTATTGTATTTTACAATTTTACCCATAATGTTATAATAGCATCTCCAAAAGTCTTGGGAAAAATGATTTTGGGAATGAGTAGTTAATTAAGGGTAAAACATAAAAAAAGATTGTCTTTCTCTTGATAAATAACAAGCGAAAGTAAAACTACATTTTTAATATAGTGGACAAGTAAAAGTGAATGGAGGGAGTAATATAGTATGGACCAAAGGCAGAACTCCCTCCGATCCACTTTAATTGACTTTTTGGCTTTTCTTTTTGTGGTCCACAATATTTAATTTTTTCAGATATCAAGAAGGAATAAATTTCTTTTTTGCAAAATTGCCCTTGAAATAAAGAGTCTACAAGTATTTGTTATATTTTAAATGAATAACTTAAGTTAATATGGTTAATTTCATTATTAATTAATGCTAAAAGGTAACTTACGTGGGAAAAGAGTAAAAAAAATTAATTAAAAAGGGAGTAATACTTAAAAACTAAAACTGCGGGTCAGTATAACACTAAAAGACAAACCTGAAAAGTACGTACTAACTAACCAACATTCAAGAGAAACAGTGAAGAGAGAAACGTGATGAAGACCAAAAACATTTAATGGAATAGTAAATTAAATGACATTAACCAAAGCCTGCCAAAGGTTGGTTTAATAGGTTTGTGGGGGGGATTGGGTAAAGTATTCAAAGTTTACATGAATAAATACGGCAACGTCAGGAGTTACGACTGATAACTAAAAGAGTTCAAAAATGGTTAAACATTAAATTATGAGAGCAGCTGACGTGTGCCCCATTTAGTGTATAGCTTTAAGTAGGTTAGGTTTCAGAGCAAAAACTGTACTTCAGGTAAGAACTCGATCGAGTCCTAAGCGGCGGAGCTAGAATTTTTAGTAAGTGGATACATAATATAAGAAAGTAACATAATAAGAAGTTAAGAGAATTCAATTACTCTTATATATATATACTAGATAGTGCTGGCCCGTGCCTGATATTGTAAAAGATGAAACTATTATATTTTCTATCAACTTTACTTTGATATAAAATGACAGAAAAGAGAAATAAATACATGTAATGGACTACCAAATCAGATACAAATAACATCACATAACTTTGTTTGGTGTATGAAATAGCAGAGAAGAGAAATAGAACCTACTGCCTCTGCACTTGATTAATTTTCTGTATTAATGCTTAGTAGAGAAAAAAAACCTTACTCTTTAATTTGTTGGTGAGAAAAGGAAAATAGAACAGTGAAGTCATTATGTAGTTCCGAAATGAAAGTGAATGGATGTGATTAAATGACTTTTTCAAAGGATTATCTACTATTCAGCTTTATAACTTTATCTAAGTGGGTTTAATTTTAACTTTGGTTCCAAATATTTTTTTTTTGAAAAAAAATTGAGGCTATCTCTTCCTTCTTTTAGGGAAGATAGAGGGGGATAGAGTTAGTTGTGAATATTCAACGTTAGTTTGATAATTTAAAAGATGGAAATTAAATCTCAATAACACTAGTAAAATTAAAGGGTAACTTACACAAATGTCCCAAATAAATCTCAACTTACCAACCTCTAGCCATTAGTCATAGACTTACCAAAACTAGCCAACAAAAATTGAAAAACCAAATAATAGAGTTCTTTCTCTCAAAGAATCACATGCAAAGATCACCTTCCATATTTTTAAGCGTGATTAGCAACATTAGATACAAGAGGAAAGGAAATTTCATGGACGGGGTAGCGAATAAGGTGATGAAATACAAAATCTATACAATATTCCAAAAATCTAAACAAAAAAGGAACTTTTTCAATGGGTATAGTTGAAATTCATTGAAAATATATAGATAAGTCAATATACAAAATTTGAGGAAGATTGGAGGTGATTTGGACTGGTTTTGTATCAAAATTCGTAATTAAATCGAGTTCAAAAAAGTCTTCTGCGACACATGTATCACGCATGTATCACACACACATACATACATGGATATACATGTGATACACAATGTATTGGGAAAAAAGTTGAATTTATATTGAAGATGACGTGGCATGACACGTGGACTGGACAAGTGGTCAAAGCGTAACAGTTGGGAAAAAGGTACGGGAAATGACAGGTACGGGAAGAAGAAATGAAATAGGCACGAGAAGCAGTTTAGACACGAGTCTCGTACCAATTCGAAGTCATTTAAAGCCAGCGGGTCGAAAGGCATTGAAGACATGAATCTGAAGACAAAAAGGAGTCCAAATTCAGTATTAAATACCTGATACGTTAGAAAATTGGTATTTAATAGGAATGATTGTGTAACGGCTCATTTAATGTTATTTATTGTCCATAATTGTCTCATTAAAGCTTAGATTTATTTCCTTTACCTAGAATCAACTATAAAAGGAGGAAATTGTATTGGAAAAAGGACATGACTTACCTCATACTGAAATAAGAACTTTTGCTTACTGCTTTATTATTATTCTCAGAAAGCCTATAATTATTTTGGTCTCTTGATTATCAGTAACCCGATTTTTCATCTCCAATTCTAATATTATCCAAAAGTTTATTTCTTTGGCGAAACAAATTTATTTTGTTGAATGCCATGATATGGAAGTACCTCCACTTTGAATATTGAGGTATTGATTAATAGATACTAAATAAAAGCAATTCTTTAATTTTGATTCTGCATATCTTCATCAGAGAGGAGGCGAGTCCCCCAGCCATCCTTAAATACTTCAACACTTTCTTTTAGAATATTATGCATGTTATAAATCCTACAAATAATTTCATCCACTTGCAACGATGGACGTCTTCCATAACAGTTTTAGATTGGTTATGTATCCAAAACAGGTTTTGGATTGGTTTTGTAACAACGAAATATTTCTATAAATAGGTTCACTGATGAACCTATTCGATACTCTCAAACAAAGAAATAAATCCTCTCTTCTAATGTTATCATTCTCTTCTATTGTTAGTCCTAGTTAATTACATAATTCTTGCTATATTGCTTTTATTTCATAACACGTTATCAGCACGAGCTCCTAACCAATTTTAATCATCTTCCAGTTGTGCTTATTTTCTTCCTCAGAACAAGGTGGGTAACTTTAAATTCATACAATTACATAGTTTTATAAATTATGACGGTAACTTAGTTGATTGTCCAATATGGGATGCTTACTTTTTATTAAAAACAAGTGATTTCCTGCGCCAAGTTGAAAAAGTTATGCTTACTGTCTTTGATAATAGAAGAATATTTACAATTAACCAACTTGATATTAATATCACATCAAAATATTTTTATATTTAATATTTTAGATCTTGGTTAATTGTATATTTCTTGATATGGGTCTTCTAATGATTAATTGTTAAAATTATATTCATTAGTAAATAATTTCTTCCTACTTGTTCGATGCGTAAAACAACAACAGCTAAGTTGTCCATGCATATATTTTTGAGATTTTGGCAAAGTTAAAATTTTAATGAGTGAAAAACAAATGCTGACCCAAAGAAGAAATTTTCATGTTATCGTACTGGTACAAAACAGATATTTGTTCTTGTAAGCTTCATTAGTTCTTATCATATTTCTGATATAATTATTATTTTTGGATAGTTTTTACTATGTCAAATTTGTCAAAGCTTGAATTTGTGGCACTTGATATCTCCGGAAAGAATTATTTATCATGGGTCCTTGATGCTGAAATTCACCTTGCTGCAAAAACTCTTGAAAATACTATTATACAAGGAAATGAAGCATCAGGCCAGGATAAGGCAAAGGCTATGATTTTCCTTCGTCATCATCTCGGTGAAGGGTTAAAAACTGAATACTTAACTCTGAAAGATCCATTTGAATTATGGAGCAGTTTGAAGGAACGATATGACCATCTTAAGGCAACGGTATTGCCAAAAGCTCGATATGAATGGATTCACTTACGCTTACAAGATTTTAAAACTGTAGGTGGATATAATTCTGATGTATTCAGAATAACTTCCCTACTTAAATTATGTGGGGAAATTGTGAATGATGAGGATTTACTGGTAAAGACTCTTTCTACTTTTCATGTCTCAAATATGGTATTGTAGCAACAATACCGTGAAAAGAGTTTAAAGAAATATTCTGAACTAATCTCATGCCTCCTGGTGGCTGAGCAACATAATACCCTTTTAATGAAAAATCATGAAACCCGTCCTACTGGATCTGCACCATTTTCCGAAGTGAATATGGTAGCAGCGACTCAAAAGTTTGAAAGAAGATAAAATAATTATCGTGGTCGTGGTCGTGGCCGTGGCCATAGTCGTGGATGTGGACGTGGACATAAAAGGGGACGAAATAATTATCGTCATCATTGTAGAAATAAACAGGAGAACAATAAGGATCCTCAAAATAATTCTTTAAAGGGCAGAGTTAATATTTGCCACAGATGTGGTATGGAAGGTCATTGGGCACGTGTTTGTCGTACACCTGACCATTTTGTCAAACTTTATCAAGCATCTATTAAAAGAAAAGATAACAATGTGGAGACACACTTGACTTATCAAAATAATGATGATGAAGCAGGTCCCTCAAATAAATATGATGATGTTGAGGCAAATCTTGCATATAAAGATGATGATTTTGGAGGCCTTGCAAATATTACTCATTTAGAAGCTGGAGACTTCTTTGAGGATAGTGACTGAAGAAGTGATTATCTTACTGGGGAATAAAACTTTTAGAAAAGTTGTTATTTTCATATTATGTTTTTAAGTAGTTTGTTCTTCTTAGTGTACTTTCCTAAAGCATCATATATGCTAGTTTCTACATTCCTAGTGTAATTTTCTAATGTTTCTTTTATTTATAGTCTTTCGTATTTCTTATGATGTACTTTTTGTTTCTTTATGAAGAATATGGAAATTCCCCAGTCTTCAGTTAGTTCCAAAATCAATAAAGATGATATATGTCTTCTGGATAGTGCTACAACACATACTATTTTAACAGATAAGAGATATTTCTCTTATTTGGTGATGAAAGACGCCAATGTTAATACAATATCTAGCAGTACAAGATTAATTGAAGGCTCTGGAAGAGCAAACTTATTACTACCCGGAGGAACAAATTTGGCTATTAATGAAGCATTATATTGTAGTAAGTCTCAAAGAAACTTACTAAGTTTCAAAGATATTCGCCAAAATGGATATCACATTGAGAATACAAATAATGAAAAGATTGAATATCTTTCTATTACTACAATAAAGTCGGGTAAGAAATATGTGCTTGAAAAGCTGCCTGGTCTTTCCTCTGGCTTGTACTACACAAACATTGGCAGAGTTGAAACACATGCTATAGTAAACCAGAAGTTTACTAATTCAAATAATTTTATTATTTGGCATGACCGGTTGGGCCATCCCGGTTCTAGCATGATGTGCAAAATAATTGAGAATTCACATAGACATGCATTGAAGAACCAAAAGATTCTTCAATTTAAGGATTTCTCTTGTGCTGCATGTTCTCAAGGTAAATTTATTACTAGGCCATCAGTAACTAAAGTTGGGACTGAATCCCCAGCATTTCTGGAACGTATACATGGTGATATACGTGGCCCATCACCCGCCATGTGGACCATTTAAATATTATATGGTTTTAATAGATGCATCTACAAGATGGTCTCATGTGTGCTTATTATCAACTCGCAATCTGGCATTTGCGAGGTTGTTGGTTCAAATAATAAGATTAAGAGTACAATTTCTAGATTATGCAATTAAGACAATTCGTCTTGATAATGCTGGTGAATTTACATCCCAAGCCTTTAATGATTATTGTATGTCAACTGGGATAACAGTTGAACATCCTGTTGCTCATGTTCATACTCAGAATGGTCTGGTGGAATCATTTATCAAGAGCCTCCAATTAATTGCTCGACCATTGCTTATGAGAACAAAACTTCCTATTTCGATATAGGGTCATGCTATTTTGCATGCAGCAGCACTTGTGCGTGTCAGGCCAACGAGTTATCATAAAATCTCCCCATTACAATTGGCTTATGGTCAGGAGCCAAATATTTCTCATCTTATAATATTTGGATGTGCGGTATATGTTCCAATTGCTCCACCACAACGCACAAAGATGGGTTCCCAAAGAAGGTTGGGGATATATGTTGGATATGAATCTCCTTCTATTATTAAATATCTGGAACCCATGACTGGAGATTTATTTACGGCAAGATTTGCTGATTGCCATTTAGATGAATTAGTTTTTCCTACATTAGGGGGAGAGAATAAGCAACTGAAAAAGGAGATAGACTGGAATGCATTATCATTATCTTATTTAGATCCTCGTACAAATCAATGTGAACTGGAAGTTCAAAAGATAATTCATTTGCAAAGTATTGCAAATCAACTTCCAGATACATTTACCAACCTACCAAGGATTACTAAATCTCATATTCTAGCTGCAAATGCTCCAATTCGAGTTGATGTCCCGGTAGGACAATCTGTTAAAGCATATGAGTCTAAGCCACACTTAAAACGTGGCAGACCAATCGGTTCTAAAGATAAAAATCCTCAAAAAAGGAAAGGAAAAAATGATCAAGACAGTCATAATATGGAGGTAATTGCTCAAGAAGATCCCCGAGACATAACAATTGATAAAACCCCAAAAGAGGTCAAGGTACCTGGAAATAATGAAAATGAAGAGATCTCAATAAATTATGTCTCAACTGAAAAAAGATGGAATCGAAATGATATAGTTGTTGATAACATTTTTGCATATAATATTGTTGCTGAAATAATGCAACAAGATGAGGATCTTGAACCAAAATCTGTCGATGAATGTAGACAGAGAAATGATTGGCCAAAATGAAAAGACGCTATCCAAGTAGAATCGACTTTACTTAAAAACGTGAAGTTTTTGGACCTATAGCCCAAACACCTGAAGGTGTAAAGCCAGTGGGGTACAAATGGATTTTTGTGCGAAAAAGAAATGAGAAAAATGAAGTTGTAAGATATAAAGCACGACTTGTAGCACAAGGATTTTCGTAACGGCCTGGCATTGATTATATGGAGACATATTCTCCTGTGGTGGATGCAATCACATTCAGGTATCTTATCAGTCTAGAAATTCATGAAAAACTTGATATGCGTCTTATGGATGTTGTCACGGCCTATTTATATGGCTCACTGGACAACGAAATTTTTATGAAAATTCCTGAAGGATTCAAAGTACCTGAAATATACAAAGATTCTCGGGAAACTTGTTCAATAAAGCTTCAGAAATCCTTGTATGGATTGAAGCAATCAGGGCGCATGTGGTATAATCGCCTCAATGAATACCTATTGAAAGAAGGGTACAAGAATGACCCAATTTGTCCTTGTGTCTTTATAAAAGGATCTGGATCTAAATTTGTCATAATAGCTGTGTATGTTTATGACTTGAATATCATTGGAACTCCTGAAGAGCTTCCAAAGGCAGTAGAATGCTTGAAGAAAGAATTTGAAATGAAAGATCTTGGAAAGACAAATTTTGTCTTGGCTTACAAATTGAGCATTTGAAAAATGGAATATTTGTCCATCAATCAATGTACACCGAAAATATTTTGAAGCGTTTTTATATGGATAAAGCACATCCATTGAGTACCCCGATGGTTGTGAGATCGCTTGATATAAATAAAGATCCATTTCGTCCTCATGAAAATAATGAAGAGCTTCTAGGTACTAAAATACCATATTTTAGTGCAATTGGGGCATTAATGTACCTTGCTAATAATTCTAGACCAGATATAGCTTTTTCTGTAAGCTTGTTAGCAAGATTTAGTTCTTCGCCAAAACAAAGACACTGGAATGGTATTAAGCATCTATTCAGATATCTGCGAGGGACCATTGATATGGGATTATTTTATTCAAATGAATCTACGTTGCAACTGATAGGTTTTGCAGATGCAGGATATTTGTTTGACCCACATAAAGGTCGATCTCAAACAGGCTATTTATTTACATGTGGAGGTACTGCCATATCATGGCATTCAACAAAACAAACTATGGTTGTTACTTCTTCAAATCATTCAGAGATAATAGCCATTCATGAAGCGAGTCGAGAATGCATTTGGTTGAGATCAATAACTCAACATATCCAGGAGCTATGTGGTCTTTCATGGGGAAAGGATATCCCAATAACATTATATGAAGACAATGCTGCATGTAAGCTCAACTAAAAGGGGGATATATTAAAGGAGAAAGAACAAAGCATATTCACCAAAATTCTTTTTCACGCATGATCTTCAAAAGAATGGTGAATTAGATGTTCAACAAATTCGTTCAAGTGATAATTTGGCAGATTTGTTCACTAAGGCATTGCCGACATCAACATTTGAGAAGTTAAGATACAAGATTGGAATGCGTCGTCTCTGAGATATCAAATAAGGTTTTTTTATCAGGGGAAGAAATAAGCGTTGTACTCTTTTTCCCTTAACCAAGGTTTTGTCCCATTTGGGTTTTCCTGGTAAGGTTTTTAATGAGGCAACTCTTAATGCGTATTACAAGATATGTGTACTCTTTTTCCTTCACTAAGATTTTTTCCACTGGATTTTTCTTATTAAGGTTTTAATGAGGCACATTATCTGTTAGTGGACATCCAAGGGGGAGTGTTATAAATCCTGCAAATGGTTTCATCCACCTGCAACGATGGATGTCTTCCATAACAGTTTTAGATTGGTTATGTATCCATAACAGGTTTTAGATTGGTTATGTATCCAAAATAGGTTTTAGATTGGTTATGTATCCAAAACAGGTTTTAGATTGGTTATGTATCCATACAGGTTTTGGATTGGTTTGGTAACAACGAAATATTTCTATAAATAGGTTCACTGATGAACCTATTCGATACTCTCAAACGAAGAAATAAATCCTCTCTTCTAATGTGATCATTCTCTTCTATTATTAGTCCTAGTTAATTACATAGTTCTTGCTATATTGCTTTTATTTCATAACAATGCGGAATTATTTTTTATTTTTTTCGTTGTACAATAAAAAAAGTTATTGGGAATGACTACCTTAGATGAGGAATGAACTAGAACATATTAGGAAACCAAAATTGTATTGAACCTCACGTATATCTCACGCGCAATGGGGAGGTGAGGGGGCAAATCGATTACTTTTGCCTTAAAGCTCATTTTCTCATGTGGTACCACTCTCTTTTAGTAGCTCTTTACAAGTAAATAAATGACAACCTAATATAAAGAGAAAAAGAAAGTCCTTCCTAATCCATATGGAACTTTTATCTTTCACATAAGACAAAGAATCAAGAGAAAAAAAGGGACTCACAAAAAAATCTTTAACTTTGCAATATAAACCATTGGTAATAATATCATCATGTTTGACCATCTCATTTTTGATAACTTCCTTTTATTAGGGCTCATAGCTTGAATGAGACAAATGATGGAGAAGAGCTAAGAGCTCATAGAGAGAAAATTTGCAATTGTATATTAATCACCGTGTGTTCAGTACAAAATATCTATACAGCTGGATACTTATACACATAAATGTACGCCTAACGACGTATACTAACTGACTAACTGCTCTACTAATACAATAACTAATTTAGTTTTAGTAGGATCCACTAGCCTCTAGACCAGTTGACTACTCAACGCTTCCCCTCAAGTTGATGACTGGTACAAGCTCTTCACTCCTAGTTGATTGAGAAGATAGTCACGAGCCTTTCCAAAACTCTTTGGAAGTAGATATGCTAACTGCTCTTTGGTGGAAACATGATCTGTTTTTATCACTCACTGTATAATCTTTTTCCTTACAAATGATAATCTATATCAGTGTGCTTTCTCTTTCGTGGAAGAATGGATTACCTACAATTTGAATAGCAGCTTTGCTGTCATATAGCAGCCTAACAGGTTACTCCAGCTCAACCCCCAACTATTTGACAGACCTATAAGCCTAGTGACTTTCAGCAATACATGAAGTCATGCTTCTGAACTCTGCTTCAGCTGAGCTTCTAGAAATAGTTTCTTGTTTTTTGAATTTCAAGACATCAAAGCATTGGTAAAATTCACTGGATATGTAGTGATTGATCACTTTGTTTGTAACCATATTCCCCAGTCAGAATCACAATAAGCAACCAGATTATTTGAACCGTCAGCATGAATAAACAATCCCAATCTAGGTTCAACTTTAATGTACCTTACAATCCTGATTGCTGCTTTCATATGAGATGCCTTTAGGCAATGCATGAATTGACTAAGAACTTGAACTGCAAGGAAAAAGTCAGGTCTATTCATGGTGAGATACAATAGCCTATCCACTAGCCTTTGGTAGGTACTGGGATCCTTCAATGTTTCATCTGTATAGTCATTCTTCAGCAAATTATCAAACTCCACAGATGTCAGTTTTTGATTCATTTCAACTGGAGTTATGGCAAGATTTGCTCCACTTAAACAAGACTCAGATATCAGTTCTAGAGTATATATCGTTTGGCACATTACAATTTCCTCTTTAGACTTAGCAAACTCAATGCCTAAGAAAAATTTAAGCTCACCCAGGCCCTTCATGTTAAACTAGTTTTGCAGGTCTTCTCTTTCTTGCTTCAATTGTTTAGGATTGTTACATGTGGCCAACAGATCATCCACATATACTAAATTACAACTATGTCATCCCCTGGTCTTTTAGTGAACAAGGAATAGTTAAAGTGACTTTACTGAAATCCCATCTGAATTAAAGCTTCAGTGAGCTTCGTGTTCCATTGCCTTGGGGCCTATTTTAGACTATACAATAAATTTTAAGTTTGCAGACCTTCTTAGACTCCCTCTATCTAGAAACCTCTTCTAGAATATTTAGATAGACCTTTTCCAATAGATCTCTATTAAGGAAGGTATTGTGAACATCCATATAATATACTAACCAGTGCCTTGAAGCTACCAGAGCAATCACAAATTCGACAGTTACCATTTTAGCCAGATGAGAGAATGTCTCTATATAGTCCAACCCCTACTTTTGACTGAACCCCTTAGCTACAAGTCTAGCCTTGTACCTTTCAACCTCCCCTGATGCCCTATACTTAACCTTGAATATTCACTTGCAAACAATAGGAGATTTGGCAGGAGATAAGTCCACTGTGATCCAAGTAATTATCTTCTAAAGCTGTAATCTCTAGTTACATAGCCTCCACCCACTTAAGATCAGCTGATGCTTCCCTAAATGTTCTAGGTCCTGAAATAGCAAAGTAGAGTGACAGTTTCATCTGGTATGGGCTTGTCTTATTGTAAGTGACATATGAGGACATGGGATATGCACAAGCATGTCCAATAGAGGGAGTAAAAATCTTTCAACCATACATGAGGTTTGTTCTCTCTAGAAGACTTCCTGAGACCCTAATCATGTGCTGCAGGTGATTTTTCTGCAGCAGAAACATCTGGAACCTCATTACTTCTTACATCCTCATGATAAGTGTTAGATGAGTAAGTAGAAGCTGGCTTCCCCTGAATGAAACTGTCAGGAGGTTCAGCTAACTCAGACTTTTCTCTAGTGGTCCTAAGGATCAATGCTGCATGTGATAGAAGATCCAGAACTAGAAATATAGAGGAACCTACAGACTTCAAATGTTTGAAATGGAAAATATCTTCCTGAAACACCACATTTCTGCTCACTATAAATTCCTTGGAGCGAAGATCATACTACTCGTAGCCCTTATGCATGGAAGAATATCCCATGAGAACAACTGGTATTGCTCTGGTTGTGAACTTATCAAGCACCTTTGGAGTTGTAGCATAGCAAAAACATCCAAAAACTTTGAGATGTGTAAGGGAAGGAGCATAGAAATAAAGTCTCTCAAAGGGTGACTTGAATCCAATAACTCTAGAGGGCAGTCTTTTGAGAATATGGACATCAGTAGACACATATTCACCCCAGAAACTTAATGGTATAGCTGCTTGAAACCAGAGTGCTCTGACCATCTCTAAAATAGTTCTATGCCTTCTTGCTGCCATTTTATTGGGGAGTGTAGACACATGTACTTTGCTATGTAATACCAAAGCTTGTCAATCAAATATACTACTAATTCAATTTGTATTTCAGCAAAACAAGAATCACAAAGTGATCCACAATCGAAAAACTTCACAACTGAAGTACAAATACCATAATAAGTCTAACAAAATAGTGATTACCACAAAAGCCACAAAATAAGTTTTGTAAAAGGTCAGCAAATAACATCAAGTGCCATAACCGTACTTAAATAGTTAAATACGAATCTCCAACCTTGGATAAAGGAGGAGACACTTCTCAATATGTTTCATTAAAACCACAAGTTCCATTAACCTTCAGATTGAAATTATAAACTCGACCATAATGAACGCACTTAAATTTGCGCCCTTTTTCATTTTCTTCTACAATCTCAAAATATTCCCAAATAGGTGATCTAACTTTAAGACCGCGAGGCATGGTTTAACCTACAAATTAAAAAAAAATCACAAATTAAATACAATCTTTTTAAATAACAAATAATAAAAGAATATCGCAAAACAAGCAAATCTTTAAACTTACCACTTGACTAACTTGCATCCCTTTCAACAATGCAAGTTTCTCTTCCACTATTTGCCCTATCTAAAGATTATTTGATAAAATGTGTCATATAACATAACTAAATTATTTTGCACTAAAACTCATATTAAACACAAAAATCTTACCAAGTTTAAATGTTTCAAGAAACTCCACATATTATTCAGTATTAATAGGAGTAACCTCGTATCTAAACTAATATTGAACACAAACAAGACTTGGCACAACCGAGGAGTCAATGAACTCTTAAATGAATCAAGAATGCAGACACCATTGCTAAATGCACATTCCAATGCCATATTAGAAATTGGAATGATCAATATATCACGAGCTAGCTCAAAAAGAACATGGAATCCAGGTGCATTAAGTTTCCACCAACCTAAGATTTTAAAGTCATCGGAATCAAATACATGCTCTTGTTCTTCACTAAGATATCTTTCCAGCTTCATTTTAGCACCCACACTTTCACAGTATTCTTTTTGTCTCTTTAATTGAAGCTTTTTTCTCATAGTCACACTTCCACTAGATGTATCAGATGTGTCATTAGATGAAGTAGATGTAGATGAAGATGATTGAAGATGATATCCTCTTGAATATATTTGTTGATAGTCTCCAAATAAAGAAGTCATATAAGCATCCACCTCAGCAATTATTTTCTTTGCCTTTTCATCCCCAAATATTTCCTCAAGTGCAAAACCAATATACTCTAATTTTTTATGGGCATCTAACATATAAGCAATAAATATCATTTTATTCATCTTTTCGGGCTTACCCCAATATTTCTTAAAGTTTTCTTCCATCCTGCCTTCTTACTCAAACTAGTATCTTCATTTTCCAAACAAGCTTTAAAATGATTATCAAGTTCATATATATCTTCAAAATGACAATTACATGTGACATAACATGAACCTGAAATTTTTTCTGTGAGCTCATAAAATATTTCGAGAAACTTTATGTCACGACCCAAAATCAACCGTCGTGATGGCGCCTATCGTGGAACTAGGCAAGCCACAACTCAACCATCTTAACATAGTAAAAGCTTTGAAAATATAGATGGAAGCAATTAATATTTAAGAAAAACCTTTTTGAAACAGAATTAAATCCACAACACAATACAATCTATCCCAAAATCGGGGTGTCACCGAGTACATGAGCATCTATGCCAGAATACAGTCTACTACAATGTCTAAGGAGTAAGAACTGAAATACAGATAAAGATAATGAATGAGAGTCAAGGCCTGCGAATGCCATGCAACTACCTCGATAGTCTCTGAGATCCTGTCTCCTCAATCAGCAGCCGCTGTGACTGGAAGCACCAGGATCTGCACACGAGGTGCAGGGTGTAGCGTGAGTACAACCAACTAAATAAGTAACAAATCCAACCTTTGGACTGAAAGGTAGTGACAAACTCAATCGGTATAGTTCAATATAGAAATAACAGCGCAGAAACGTAGGCATGCTTTCAAGTTCAATAGATAGCTCAAAACAGTAATATAGAACAAATCTGATAAGGTCCATGTCCAGGGAAGATCCATCCCTCAAGAATATTAACCGCACTCACTAGGGGTGTGTGCAGACTCCGGAGGGGATCCTTCAGCCCAAAGCGCTATTATAAATCAATATAACTGCTGCGGTGTGCAACCCGATCCCATAAATGTCACTCATAATTAGGCTCTCGGCCTCAATCAGTCATCAATCTCTCCAGTCTCACTCACTGGGTCACAAATGTTAGGAAACTAGCCCGAACATGATGATATGATGTATCAACAAATAATAACAGAGACTGAGATATTATATGATATGAATGAACATGACTCAGTACGAAATATCAATGAGATCAGTAAGTCAACATCAAGAAACAACCACTATATGTCCCAACAGTAGCGGCATATAGCCTAAACATGATCTCTAGCATGATTGATAACTCAGTTATTTTATCACATGGTAAAAAACACGGATATCAGCAAGATAGGACCACTTTACAGTGCCATGGAATCGACAGGGTCCCGATTCACACGGTGCACGCTCATCACTTGGCATGTGCGTCACCTCAATACCAATCACATATCACATAATTCGGGGTTTCAAACCCTCAGAACCAAGTTTGAAAGTGTTACTTACCTCAATTCTGGTAAAATTCTACTCTAACACGCCTTGGCCTCTCAACTCGGTCTCCAAACGTCCCGAATCTAGCCATAAGCAGTACAATACAATTAATATAGGCTAAAGGAATCAATTCCACAAGAAAAATATGAATTTATAAGCCAAATCCGAAATTGGCCAAAAATTGTCCCCCGAGCCCACGTCTCGAAATCCAACAAAAGTCACGAAACCCGAAAGGTCATTCACTCACGAGTCTTACCATACAAAATTTACTCAAATCCGATAATAAAATCCCATTCAAAACCTCGAAAATCTAGCCCAAGAACTCTTTTTCTTTTCCCCCAATGTTCCACCCCAAATTAGATGATGGAATTAAAGGCATAATCATGGAATTTGACCAAAATTTGATAGGAATAACTTACCCCAAACACCCACGCAAGAATCTCTCCAAAAATCGCCTTCTACCGAGCTCCAAATCAATTTTATGTTATGAACTTAAAACCCTCATTTTTGAATCATAAATTCTGCCCAGATATACCTTCATCGCGAACGCGACCTTCCTCTCGCGTTCACGTAGACCATTCTGACTGCCCCTCAAAATAACCCTTCGCGAACGCGACCCCAGCTTTGCGAACGCGAAGCTTTGCCAACACCATTCTTTGCGAATGCGACCACTGCCCCGCGAATGCATAGACCAAAAGCTTGGGTTCCCCAGCTGCCTCAACACCTCTTCGCAAACGCGTCACCACTCTCGCATTCGCGATGCACCCCTAGTCCAACCTTCGCGTCTGCGTCTGCGTCCCCTTCTTTGTGAACGTGAAGAAAAAAGCTTCCTCAGCCCACAGATGCCCTTTGTGAACGCGAGACCTCTCTCGTGAATACGTAAGAGGAAACCAGAAAATTACACCAACAGTCTTCAGCCAAGATGCTAAGTCCAAAAATGGTCCGTTAATTACCCGAAACTCACCCGAGGCCCCCGGGACCTCTACCAAACATTCCATCAAGTCCCAAAACATAATACGAACTTAGTCGAACCCTCAAATCACCTCAAACAACATCAATAACACGAGCTGCACATGGATTCAAGCCTAATGAACTTTGAAATATCCAAATTCTACAAACGACGTCAAAGCTTATCAAATCACATCCGATTGGCCTCAAACTTTGCACACAATTCATAAATGACCCCACGAACCTATTCCAATTTCCGGAAATCCAATCCGACCCTGATATTAGAAAGTCCACTCCTGGTCAAACATTCCAAAGTTCCAACTTTCGCCATTTCAATCCTA